AATGAACTTTACAATGTTTATTCTTCCTATAATTATGCTTATGAAATATGGAATGCTTTGGACACTAAGTATGCTCTAGAAAATGTTGGAAACAAGAAATATGTATTTGCCAACTTCCTGCACTTTACTATGAAAGAAGACATGGATGTGTCTGCTCAAATAGATGAGTTCCAGGTTCTTGTGGGGGAACTAGAAAAAGAAGGCATGGTACTGCTAGATGAATTCATTGTCGGTTCTCTCATAGAGAAACTACCACATACATGGAATGATTTCAATACTAGGATGAAACACAAGAGGAAGGACACTACTTTGGACCAAGTAGTGGTCCAAATTAAGATTGAAGAAAAGAACAGAAAGAAAGATGATGACCAATTTTTCAAAACCAATATGGTGGAGGAAAATACTACAAAATTCAAAAAGAACTTGAATGTGAAAAATGATCAGAAATTCAAGAAACAACAAAAGAAAGGGAACTGCTATGTATGTGGCAAACTCGGATATTACAAGAAAGACTGTCGGTACTAGAAGAAGAAGGACTCTGGGAAACCGAAAGTCAAATTTGACTAAGGATGTTATCGCAGTAGTGGTAACTAAGGTAAACTTAGTTGATAAGCCGAAGGAGTGGGTACTGGACACTAGTGCTACCAAGCACATCTGTGGAGACCGCAATTCCTTCTATGAGTATACAATTCTATCTAAAGGAGAGCGAGTTTTCATGGGAAACTCACAAACTTCAAAGGTCATCGGCAAAGGAAATGTGCTCCTGAAACTGACTTCAGGAAAAATCCTAATGCTGAATGATGTACTACATGTGTCAGAAATCCGACGGAACTTGGTATCGGGAGCACTCCTTAACAAAATAGGACTGAAACTCACATTTTAAGCAAACAATGCCGTGTTGATTAAAAATAATGTATTTATTGGAAAATGGTACAATGCTGGTGGATTATTTGTACTGAACATCTTTAATATTATTATGAATAAAATAGCTTCTTCTTCTTCTGCTTATATTGTTGAATCTTTTGATATTTGGCATGCTAGAATAGGACATTGTAGTGCTCCTTATTCAAAATGCTTATGTAAATTAGGAGTTTTAAATGTTCCTATTAATTTTACAAATGAGAAATGCCAAGTATGTGTAGAAGCAAAATTTACTAAGAAACCTCATAAAAGTGTATAAAGAGAAACTGAATTGTTACAACTTATACATAGTGATCTAGGAGACCTTAAATGTCATGAAGATAGAGAAGGAAAAAGATACTATATAACATTTATAGATGACTTTTCTAGATATGCAAAAGTAGTTCTACTTAAATCAAAAGATGAGGCTGATCAAACTTTTATAAACTACAAAACTGAAGTAGAAAATCAATTAGGAAAGAAAATAAAAAGGCTTAGAATAGATAGATGAACTGAGTATGATGGACAAACCATTAGAAAATTCTTTGAAGAAAATGGAATCATACATGAAACCACAACTCCCTATCAACCTGAATCTAATGGAGTTGCAGAAAGACTTAACGGAACACTAAAAGAAATGATGAATGTAGTGCTAATTAGTTCAGGTGCACCTTTGAATTTGTGGGGGGAAGCAATCCTAACGACTTTTCACTTATATAATAGAATACCACATAAGAAGAAATGACAGATTTCCTTTGAACTTTGGCATAATAGAAAACCTAATTTGAACTATCTAAGGGTTTGGGGCTGCCTAGCAAATGTTGGAATATCTGAACCTAAAAAAATGAAATTAGGACCAAAAACCTATGACTGTGTGTTCATGGGTTATGCACAAAATAGTACGGCTTATCGATTCCTTGTAATTAAAACAATTGAAAATATTGTTGAGAGTAACACAATAATAGAGTCCTTAGATGCAGAGTTCTTTGAGCATATCTTCCCTTGAAGGAAAGAAACATTAAATCAGGAACCTTTCCAAAACCAAGTTAGAAATCAAGAACTAGTGAATGCTCAAGAAACTAGTACTTCACTTAGGCAAAACCCAAACTTAAGGAGAAGTAAAAGACAAAGAAGAGAACCAGACTTGGGTAATGGAATGCTCACATTTTTTGTGGACAAGGACCCAGTAACCTATCAGAAAACTATAACTTCACCCGATGCAGTATTTTGGAAAGAAGCCATAAAAAGTAAAATAGACTCTTTAGTCACTTATCACACTTGGGAACTTGTAGATCTGCCACTTGGAACTAAGGCACTAGATTGTAAGTAGATTTTTAAGAAAAAACTAAACCAGATGACACAATAGATAAATTCAAGGCCAGGTTAGTTGCTAAGGGGTTCAGACTAAAGAAAGGTATAGACTTTTTTGACACCTACTCCCCGGTTGCAAGATTAACAACAATTAGGGTTTTATTTGCTATAACATCCATTCACAAAATGATAGTTCACCAAATGAATGTGAAAACAACTTTCTTAAATGGAGAATTAGAGAAAGAAATTTACAGTAGACAACCTGAAGACTTCATAATGCCAGGACAAGAAAATAAAGTATGTAAACTAATTAAGTCTGTATGACTTAAAACAAGCTCCCAAACAATGGCATTAAAATTTTGATAATGTGTTAGTAACTAATGGATATAACATAAATGATTCTGATAGATGTGTCTATAGCAAATTTGAAAATAATAAAGGAGTCATGATCTGTCTATATGTGGATGATATGCTAATAATGGGAATTAGTCTAGAGGTAGTAAAAGAAATGAAACAATTTCTAATGTCCAAATTTGATACCAAGGATTTGGGTGAGACTGATGTAATCTTGGGGATTAAAATCCATAAAGAACAAAGAAACTTTATTCTCTCCCAATCACATTATGTAGAAAGTATTCTTAGGAAATTTGGACATTATGACTGTAAACCAGTTAAAATACCTCTTGACTGTAGTATTCACTTAAAGAAACATGTAGGAGAACCTGTTTCACAAAAGGAGTATGCAAGTATAATTGGATTTGTATCCTACTTAATGAACTGTACAAGACCAGACATAGCTACAACTGTGGAAAAATTATGTTGAATGGGTAAAAATGAGTCGCTAGATGATTTGGGAAAGCACTATCATTTGTATCCCATTTCAAATGCTGAGGTACAATAGTACTTACTGCAGATTGAGGAGGTTGAGCATGAGGCTCTTAATCAATTAGGAATAGTGTGAACAGTGCACACTAATAACTGACCTAAGTGAGTGTGAAGTATGATCGCTTCTAAGGGAGATCTAGGGCTGACTCTCAAAAACACTCATGATTCCAAGAGGGAACAAGGCCGAAATGTTCCAAAACAAAAGAACCACTAAAGAACTGGTGAATTGAGTTGGTTGGTCGGTTATCTAGTTATGATAAGGAGGAAAGGTTGAAGGAATCTGAGTCCACCCGTACTCTATAACATAACCTGTCATACCTAAGTGTTGATTGAAGTCCAAAAGACATCACCATGAATACTTTTTTCACTGCGATTCTCAGATTGTTCAATCTTCTTGTAATTTTGAATCTTGTGGGGGATTGTTGGAGGGAGATTCAAATTTACAAGAATCTCTCTCATCCCTCTTTTATTTTAGTCATTTCCTCCCTTGAATGACTCATTGTCCCACATTATTTGAGAAAGAAGTGGGAGTAGAGTATATTTGTAGTTTTGCTCCCTCTATGGGTAGGGACCCATAGGAGGAGGGGAATATAGATATTCCATGCATGTGAGGGGGGGTTGGGGGTGCTTTTCACATGCACATGCCGAGCCGAGCCAGGCCGGGTCAGGGCGTGGGCGCGGGTGCATGTGTACACGTATGCGCGGTGCACTGAATCATTTATTTTATTCGAATTATACCTTTTCAATTTTAAAACGTGTCTCTTCAAATTCAAATTTAATTTTTAAATAAATTTGTTTTCCTTTTTTTTTTCGTGTCTCTTCTTCCTCCTGTGTGCCTCTTCGAACATGTGCACTGTTCTAAAGAGGCTCCTATCTAAAAGGACACATTTGTGTCCATTCGGGTCTGAGAGCACTCTATAAAAGGAGTGTTGGCCAACCCAGTCAAGAATACACACCATTTTCAACTTTCTTTTTCTCCGAGAAATCTGAGTATCAATTCAGTGGTTTACAGAGGTTTGGTAAGCGAGTGCACGCCTACCAGTGGCCTATGGGCTGTTTTATTTTGGCGACCAATTTGTGATCACCCGACTGCACTGTAGGGGACAAATACGATTTTAAGGAGAGTGACCAAGTGGCACGATTCAACCCTCAATCTTTCTGCAATTTCTAGTTTCGAGTTCCTACAACAAATTCAATTCATTACAACATCGGCAAATGAAAGCAATTACCAATAAGTTACATTTGCTCTCTCTCTTTACTATTTTTCAACACTAAATAAGCCGAGATACTTACTGTTCCTGGTGCATGTAAACCATGATCGATGAATGCAACGTGTCCCACGGGAAGAGATGGAGTCACCTTGAGCCTCTACTATGAGAGAAATGGACGAAAAGCGTCAAATCCTGCCGCTGGGAAGTAAATGGAGTATCTCCATAGTATTATTAATGGTGCTATAAGTGCTGAAATCCAACATGTGTCTTCAAAGGTGATCTCGTGCCATAAATTTTGTTGCAGTGGAAGCTCCTCAGAAGACGTAAAGAAATTTCTTGACGACTAACCAAATCTAATTGGGTTGCCATTGACCTCAATCCGATCTTACCCGGCCCAACTTGTACCTATACTTCTCATACAAACCAAATCTAATTGATCAAATAAAAATTTTAGCCTAAATGCTTCAAACACTACATTTGATGCTTGGTCAGGGACTCAGTGGTCACTCAAGTAAATCATAATTTTACCCATCAATATTTTTCTTTTTTAGTTTCTGTATTTTGACTATTTTTTAATTATTTAAAGCTGTTGTCTACTACATAAATAAATAATTGCTATTATTAGTCATTGCAGGGTGTTATAGTCTTTTCACTATTACGTCATAAAATCAGGTGATAGCATGATATGGGTTCGTTTCTGAGACTGCAAGACGCTTAACAATCACGCGTTAATACTTGATACTTTGGGGGTCTCGATCAGTAACGAGGTTGCAAGAATTGCACAGAAACTGGTTCAACGGCTTCGAGGGGACCCCACATTTGCAGACACCATTAGTGCCCCTGCTTGCTAATTAACTTAGTTAATTAGTTTATTTTCCAGTTCATAGGCAACCCTCGAACGCGGGAATCGGTGATTCTCCATTTCTGTCTAAACCTGCGAACATGTTCAAGAAGTGAGTGTGCTTCCACCTTTTTCTTTCACCTTGTCTCTGTGTATTTTTTTAGTTTACTTGAGGTGCTAAGTGCTTGAATTGTTTTTTAATCGATATTTCTAATTTGTTGGTGTTTGAAGAGAATGCTTATTTGTTCAACTCCTCGTTTTCTTCGTAGATTTGTTTAGTTTTGGATTTTGGAGATTTAGGGTTTACGTAATTTGGTGGTATATGGGCAACTGAAACATCGTCTAGATCGATGAATTTGGGCTCCAGAGGGACCTGCTTTTTGACTCTTATTTGCGCGCATTGTAGATTTTAATTATGTGCGCTACATTCTTTTCTTCTTTGGATTACCAGACAAAATGGGTGCGGATTTAAATGTTAGTTAGGGTCCTTAGGGATAGATTGCGTTTTAATGCTCCAAGGCTCCAGTCCAGAGATGTGATTATCTTCTAGCACGAACTGTTGGTTTTAGCATTGAAGAGGACGAACCGTTCTGGAAAATTGGGAACGGCAGACAAATATCAAATGCTTAATAATCACCAAGAAAGTTATACGGTTTGATTTTTAATACTTCACAAACCAAATAACAGCAGTTTGGAACTAAGGTATGCGTTCGACAAGCAGTCTAGAAGATAAGTTTTTGCTTGATATAGTGTCATGCAGGAAGTAGGGATTTACGGGTTGCCAGTCCACTGCCAACGATTAAAATCATTTCCAAGTAGCTACAGACTGACAAACAACTAAGCAATTACAATCATAAAACAGTAAACTTGTAAAGTAAGAAGCTTCTTTTTAGGGAGTAGGTAGAACCGTAGAAGTTATAAACAAAAATAGATAGGAGGGCCAACATTGTCCTATGAACAAAAGCATAGAGAGTTGCTTGCACATTACGCAATTAAATGGTCCAACCATCTACCGTAATCAGCCAGACAATTCTTTTGCTTGATCCTTAATGATAAAGATTTTATAAATAAATGGAGATGGATCCATAGAAAATGTTTGGCAATAACTTAATCTGAGAGTCCGAGGAACCAATAATAGACGCAAACACATAAATGCACTAACACACAAGATAAATATTGATGATGGTCTTGAAAACCTCATGTCTAGATGCCTTACTCTTATGGAAAATTATCAACTAGAGGCCTTTTCTGTGGGAAGGATAGGAAGCAGAAATATAAGTTGCACCTGGTAAAGTGGAACAAAGTGTGTAGCCCAAAGAAAGTGAGGGGGGGATTGGGAGTAAGGAAGCTGAGAAAGCTTAATTTAGCCTGTTTTGCCAAGTGGCTGTGGAGGTGGAATGAACAGCCTGATGCATTATGGAGAAGGATTATTCTAGCTAAGTATGGAGCAGATGTGTCATCTTGGGAGCCAGCGGAGACTAGAATGTCTTATGGGTGTGCTGTATGGAGAGGAATTCAAAAAGTGTTGGAGGAATTCAGAAAAGGAATCAGATACAAGGTGGGAGGTGGCACAAGAATCAAATTCTGGACTGATATTTGGTGTGGGGATCAGTGTCTTTATCAGAGCTTTTCCAATCTTTATGAGATTGCTCAAAACAAAGACTGCATGGTTGCAGAGGCTTTTGCTTGGGTAGGAGATACTGCAGTTTGGTGTCCAATGTTCAGAAGGAATTTAAATGATTGGGAGGTTGGGCAGTGGATGGAGTTGATGCAGCAGCTATCTGGTATAACTCCTGGCTCCACAGACAGAGAGAGGAGAATTTGGCAGTGGGATAAAGACGGATTTTTCACAGTAAGGTCCTTCTATAACAAACTCACGAAGGTGGAGGTGGTGGATTTCCCAGAAGCTGGTTTATGGAAATCCACAGCCCCTCCAAAAGCTGCATTTTGTTTATGGGTGGCAGTGTCAGGTAAATGTTTGACAGCTGAGGTTTTGGCCAGAAGAAGGATGCCTATGTTTCCTAGCAAGTGCATTATGTGTGGGGAAGCATCTGAAGGCTTAGAATGCTCTGGACAAGGTTTTTGGGGCTGTTTGAAGCTCATTTTTGTTTCCCAGAAAATGTGCTAGCAGTTCTTCAGAGTTGGCAAGGTAATTTGGAGAGCAGGTCCAGCTTTAGTGATCTGGACATTATGGACAGAAAGAAACAAAAGAATGTTTGTGTATGTTTCAGAGGATAGTTTATGTAAAGGTTTTTGGGGTAGGAACCGTAGGATGTATTTATGGGTAGGGTCTCATAATCTGTTCAGGAATAGATCTTATAGCTCCTTTTGTAATCCTGGAGCTTTTTTTGTATCTATGCATACTGAGTAATCTTTTAGTTGATGTACAGCTTCTGATTGAGCACTGAACAGCTCATTGTTGTGCAGATTTGGTTATTGCTTTTTGTCTAATATATTACTTCACATTTTTCTCAAAAAGAAAAAAAAGAAAGAAAAAATATATCAACTAGAGCACTAGTAGATGTAGGTTTTTTCCTTGTTTTTAGGGATTTTGTTAGGGTGGGTCTGATGCTTTTGGGTCTGCTATTGTTGGGTTATTCCTTATCACCCTGCTGTAATTTCCTTTTCCTTTCTCTCTAATAAAGTTTTACTTTTTATTTATCTTCGAAAAAAAAAGAGCACTAGTAGATGTAAGTGTACATTTTAATGTGATAGTTAGCCTATGTTTAGAAAATACATGGAGGGGGGCTTGATATAGGAAAGGTGAAAGATAAGAACACTGCTTTCTTGTGTAAATGGCTTTGGAGATTCTCCTTGGGTCCTCAATCCTTTGTGGTGTCTATGAAAATCTATTGAAGCTATATCTTGGGCTGACATGTGTAAGAAAGCATGTTCAGGTTCAAGTGGCCACTTTGTGTAAATAAAAATAGCTAAAGGTTAGGCCTGCCAATCAGTCCACCCCTCTGGTTTTCCCAAGACCCTAGAAAGCTAGGGCCAATAAATGGTCTGTTTTTTTTAATCAAATGTGATATTGTATCAGGTCAGAAAGTCAAATTTTGGGAAGATTTGTCGTGGAGTAACAATCCTTTATGTGCTTAGTTCTATATACTATATTTGACATGTTAAGGAAAAAGCCGTTTTTGACCTAATATCCTTTTCCCTAGTGGGTATTACTTAGGACTTTGGCTTTAAGAGAGGTTTTAAGGACCATGAGAGTGATTAGGTGATTAACCTCAATTATTTTGAAATTTTCTATTATTAACTCCAAATGATATTAACAAAAAGATTTTGGGTTTAGATCCACTGGTCTTCTCTGTATGTGCCCAAACCATCTTAGTCTACTTTCCCTCATTTCATCACCTTTTGGATCTACACTCAAGTACTTTCAAATAAGTTCATTTCTAATTCCATCCTTTCTAGTTTTCCCACTCATCTATCTCAACATTCGTATTTCATCATATTCATGTTTGGACATGTCGCTTCTTCACTACCCAACACTCTATTCCAAACAACATTATTTGCCTTAATACTACGCTATCAGCAAATAACATACACTGCAGTACCTCCTGAATATGTTTAGTCAATTCATTAATGAGTAGTGCAAATAAATAATGGCAAAGTGCCGAACCTAATTGAAGTTCCATTGCAACTAGAAATTCTAATGTCTCCAACCTGTTTTCTAACAATGGTTGTTGCCCCCTTTCCAAGATTCTATCATATGCTCTCTCTTCATGCAATTAATAGTCGCAAGGCATTTCTCCATTGCATCTGTCCACCCCAAAAAAGTTAACCTTAGATGGTGTGCCAGAATTTCCCATTTTGGAGTTGAGAAACATGCCCTCTACTGATGCATTTATCTTGTTATAAAAGGATTAACAGAGAATGACCATGACTTTTTCCCACCAACACCCTTTTATCTTCTCCACTTGGATTAGGCTTGTTAAGAGGCATGTTGACAAGGGTATTAGTGTATAGAGTTTATAAATGGATCTGGCCACCTGGGGTGAGTGTATTCTTTTCTCTCCTCTCTTCTTTTCCCTTCTGTTCTTCACTTCTCTCTCCCTCTCTTTCACACACACATACACATGTGCATCAGGCTGAATACCATTTACAAGGCTGTAGCTTCTGATTTAATCATTTAATTATAACATCTCAGCCAAAGATCCATTTTCCCAGTCATTAAGATTTCTTCTAAATTGGGGACTCCTGACCATTCTTTCATTTCACATTTCAAAATATTGTCACCTAAGCATCTGTATTCTCTGTGCCATGAATAAGGTGGGTAATTGTTGCACCATTCCTTCCAGAACCTTACTGTCAAGCTAGTCTACTTGATATTACCTGCCTCCAAAGGCTTCTTTGTTCCTCATTGAATTGCCAAAATGACTTTCCAAGGAGTGCTGTGCATGTGCTCATCTTTTGAACCCACCCTAGCCCCAATCTTATGCTGCATTATGGTTTATACATCTGGTTCCAGCCCATCAAATGAAACTTAAGTCACCCTTTCAGCCTTCCCATGAGAAATCCTTGATTGTCTTCTCCAATTGATTAACAATGCTGGATGGTCAATTATCAAAAAAAAAAAAAATGCTGGATGGTCTTGGGGAAAGAGATAAATAGTACATTAGTAGAGATGAAAGCACAATTTTTTTTATCAGTGTAATTTTACCCCCTCATTGATAGATGTCTTGCCTATCTGGTTTTTCTTTTTTTCAAAGATGGTAAAATATAGTATTATATTCAAAGAAGATAAAAGAACTCAGCTATATAAAAGCTGCCCCTGCAATTGCTTTATAAAAAGATTTTCATATACAAAAAAAGAACCGTGATTTATACTTTTAAACAACTTGTATATAGCTAGCCAAAAAAAAAAAAATTCCCACAGCCTTCTAAAAAAACACTTCACTATTAGGTCCCAGATTGACTCATAGCCTTCTTAAAAAACACTCCACTATTAGGTCCCAGATTGACTTTGAGATGCATCTTTCTACAAGTGGAAAATGTAATTATTTTGTGCGGAGCTTTCTGATATTACGACCCAGTATGTGTGCCAACTGTTCCAACTCCATTACTTCTCCCACAGCCATCATCTCACTCTTGTTTGACCAAGAT